GGCAGGGTTGCGTCATATTCTGAGGTGCATTATTTTTATTTATTTTGAGGAATACTGAATCTGTGTTTTTTTGTGTGAGTGAGATGAATTAATGCATATTCATATTTATATTAGAACTACAGTAACATCTTCTGATTTCTCTCAACATGGGGACAGGAGAGCGGTCAATCAAAAATTGGGGAAAAAAAGTAACTTGCGTTACTTATTTGAAAAAGTAACTCAGGTATTCTCGTCAATTAAAAAGTAATGCATTACTAGTTACTTGAAAAAAGTAATCTGATTACGTAACTCTCGTTACTTATAATGCGTTACCCCCAACACTGTTCATACGTGTGCCTAAATATCAATGCTCTATTTTGATTTCCCAATGGCATGATATTCCACATGTGGGTGTGTAAAATTATTCAGATGACGTGTTTGCACTGAGGCAACTGCACAGGTACAGTGCTGCCTATAAGGAAAGAGACAGCAGAGGTTGGCTTCCGATGCACAGAGCGTCTGTCCAGTCTGATGTCTGTCTGTTGGATTGCGTCCTCCTGGGTGAGCAGAATCATGTCTGTGGTAAAGTACACATAAATGAGTCACAATTAGTTCGATATAAGGCAGAAGTATATATACTGGCATCTTTTTTTCCTGGATAGCATCTCATGAGCTGAGCATGGAGGAGATGACGTCTGATGGAGACACCGCTCTGACTCTGGCTTGTCAAGCAGGGCATGTGGAGAGCGTAAAGGTTCTTCTCCAACGCGGAGCATCTCCACACAACACGAACAGCAGGAACGAGACTCCACTACTCCTGGGTATTACAACAAAAACATCATCAAATTAGTCTTGTCTCTTGTTGGAGCTCTCAATAAGCAATTAAAGGGATAGTTCACCCAAAAATTAAAATGATCACGCTCAATTTGTATAAGTTTCTTTCATCTTTTGAGCACAAAAGATGATATTTTAAACAATGTTGGTAAACAAACAGTTGACGGTAGCCATTGACTTCCATTGTATTGAAAAAAATACTATGGAAGTCAATGGCTACCGTCAACTGTTTGGTGAACTGTCCCTTTAAGCAGATGTCATTATAAACAAAAGTTATTTGGATTACAATTTCATTACTTCCCCAGGTGAATCTCATGAATAAATGACAGAACTTTATTTCCCCTAACATAAGAAAATAATAAATAAAAAAAAACAAGAAATTGTATTTGGCATTAATAAAAAGATTTAATCATGAATATATTATTATGAATATTATGAATAACAGTTTAATGTTTTAAGACCATTAATATTTTGTGCATTGTGGCATTATTCTCATGACAATTAAGTACATTTTACCCAATTTAATGTGATTCTCATAAATGTAATGAAGTGATGAAAATTATCTTGTATGGACAATTTTTAATTCATCATTTTTATTTAAAAAAAAATGTTCTCAATAAATCTTATTCAAATTATATAGAAAACAGCATTACTTTAGCACAACAAAATAATGTACAAATACTGTATTTTATACAGTTGATAAAAGTTTTTGTTTTTCTCCACATTACAGTTGGCAATTGAGAATTGGGTTATATGCCTTTAATTGGCACAAAATATTGTCAAAGCCCAAAACATAAATGATCCTAAAATAATGTTATTAAATAATAGGGATGTCCTGAGCCGATCTCAAGGATCGGGGCCAAACAAGCATTTTTTTTTAACCGATTACTCTCTGCACAAATCTGTATACATTGGATTGAATTTAATAACTCTAATGTACTTGAAGTGTGCACCAAACATACATTCCTATAGGAATATACAAGTATTGGATCGGGACTCTGTATCGGCAGATACTCAATATACTATGACTCGAGTCGGATCGGATCGGGACATCCCCATTAAATAGCGTTTTATGCCAGATTCAATTTCTTTTTAATGTTTTTTTATTATTTTTTTTACTTTGAGGTTAAATGTAACCCAGACTTTTGACAGATTATATTAAATTCACCACCTCATACTAAATTACACTTTGTCCTATGCCAGTTTAAGCACAACTTTATAAAAATAGGATTAAATCACATCACCAGTAGTGTCACCGGCTTGTGAATGTAAGAAAGAAAGAAAGTGTATTGTGGTTTTGTACAAGTACATGAAAATGCTTGGTTTTGCGTTTTATACTAGATCATATTCCCACGTTTCCCTTTGCAGCTGTGAGGGCAACCTCTTATGAAATGGCATATGCACTGATAAGGGGAGGCGCCTTCGTGAGGCAGCTGTGTTTGAAGAAGTGGACGGCCACCCATGAGGCTGCTAAGGTGGGTTGCGTGGACATCCTGATGCTGTTGCTGAGACACGGGGGGAAGGTGATGGGACGGGACGGGCATGGGGTCACACCGATGGGCATCGCCGCAGAGTACGGCCATCTGGAAATACTGGCAATCCTTATCCAACATGGTAAGTCAGGTGTATGCAAGTCTGACCAAGAATCAACTCTAGATCTGTCCCTATAGTAAATGATGAATTTAGTTAATATTAAATAACAAAAATGGTGATAAATACTATAAATGATCTTTTTTAATGGTGTGCAAATTTACTTAGTTTAGCTAATTATTAATAAACTGTCATGCATAAAAATCTGGAAATTGGGACTTTTAAATCGACCAGCATGAAATAAATAATGCATAAATAAAGGAAGTGGCATTTTTTTCTGCTTGTCGCGCTGCATACGTAAAGGCTAGTGTTACAAAAGAGCAGAAAATTTCTGGACACTTCCCAGAATTTTTGCAAACTTTCTGGGATCTTTTTTTGGAAATTTTCTGCCCCTTTGCAACCCTGATTAAGGCCCATTCACACCAAGCACGAGAACTATAATGGTAATTATAACTATAAAGTTTTAAAGGGGTCATGAACTGCCTTTTTATTATTATTTTGTACTGTTCCCTGAGGTCCACTTATAATGTTATCAAGACTTTTACATAAAAAAACAAAAACAATTCAGGTGTAATAGGCTATTGTCATAGATGGATACTGCTGTGATTTAGGTTAAAAATGCATAAATAGTCAGTACAGGCCTGTTTGCCATGTTTAAAATAATGTATTCTATTTACTTCTATTAAGATTTGTACAAAATGAATCATTTGATTAAATATGCATTCTCAACTATAAGGCATTTAAAGGTTCATTCCCCAAAAAGGAATGTCTTTGCTCTCACCTTTAGGGGGCGACGTCACAGCACAAGCTACAAATGGAGACAGTGTGATATATGACGCCGCAGGCTGTGGGAACCTGGACTGTATTGATCTACTCTTACAATATGGTGCCAATCCTAATGTAGCCAGTCTTTGCTCTCAACTGCCGATTCACCGCGCAGCCTACGAGGGGCGCTACCTGTGAGAGCACAGCAAATCAATCTCGCCACACTTCACCAAACAACTCTGCAACAATAATTATATTCTCTCTCTTTAAACGGACAGGGCTCTGAAGAAGTTAATTCCCATCACCAATAGGAAGGTCATCCGTCTGTGTGGGATGAGTCCGGTTCATTCTGCGGCAGACGGAGGCCACGCTGACTGTCTTGAGCTGCTCATCAAGAAAGGTTTTGACGTCAACCCAATCCTGGGCTGCCATATTTCCAAAAACTACGGTGACATGAGGAAGACCCCACTGTACTTCGCCATCTGCAATGGAGACGTCACCTGCGCCAAGATGCTTCTGAAATCAGGTGCGAAGCCGGATCTGGACCCTCTGCGCTGCCTTCTGGTGGCGGTCAGAGCTGAGAAGTACGAGCTGGTGTCGCTGCTTCTCGCCTATGGGGCGGACGTCAACTGCGTCTTCTCTGTCATCAGCGACACCGTATTTCCTACGGCATTGCAATATTGCCTCAAAGATGAAATGATGCTGCGCCTACTCCTTAACAACGGTTACCATGCAGAAAGCTGCTTTGAGTGTTACCATGACAACTGGGTAACAACAGAGGCTCCTAGCCAGTCATACCAAATCAGGAGCGATACGAATAAAGTAACCGTAAGAATCATGTTTGGGGTCTAGAAAACAACGTGGTGAATTCACTAACAGTTGCAGCACTTATTCACTAATAAGTCTTATTCACTAAACACCTGAAAATGCAATAAACATTGCAATGAGAGGCTTTATAGTGAACTCAAATCAAGAGCAATCTGAACAAAGTGACTCTAAAGCATCATGTTTGGGGTCAAGAAAACAATGGTGCGGTGTTGGGCCTTATGCGTCTTATTCAATAACCACTTAAAAACCAGCGTAACCAGGCACTACCTGTGCTGATATAGCACTGCAACTTAAACATTTAAAACCCAACTCATATCTGTGTAAATTAGGTTTCTTAAAGAATGTATTGTCACAATAAATTTTGTGCTGTTATCGTTTTGTGTGTGTGTGTGTGTGCGCGGATTTTATTGTGATCACTATAACAATGCAAAAAGAGGTCGCAATTCGTTCTTAGTTAATGTCTATATTTATATGTGGCCTAATTATGCACTCTGTTCTTTGTTTGAAGTTTTGTGAGTTTATTAGCGTGGCATGGATGGCGCATTTGGCGGGGAGGGTGGTGCAGACACTCCTAGATTACGTGAATCATGTGGACATCTGCTCTAAACTGCAATGCATTCTGGAGAGACAAGAGGAGTGGCCTGATATCTGTGAAACCCTCAGTAAGACACTTCTGTTTACGATTCATGTCTTTCCTAACCTGTATGAAAAAAAAAAAATGTCTTTACGTCTATTTGTTATTAGGGAACCCTCGCCCTCTGAAACACCAGGCCAGGTTGGTTATCAGGAGATGTACGACACTGAGACGACTGAATGACCCAGAGTTCATGAGCACCGTTCCTTTCCCCCCCGCACTGAAGAACTTCCTGCTCTACAAAGAATATGATATTTATGGTCGAATGGATGAACAGTAGATATATGAATCTATACACTGTAAAACCTAACAGTGAAAATCACTGAGCTTCATCTTCTTATCCGAAAAGAAGAGCCAGCAGATGTTTTCAAGACACACAGGTTATAAGGACACACGTTAGGACAACATTATATTTACTTAGCAACATTTTAACCTTTTAGCTGACATCAGAATAAATGCATGGCTCTGGTAGAGAGACTGAATAATTGAGCAATCAAGTTGTCTTAAATGAATAGTCCACTTAAAAATTAAAATTCTGTCATGATTCATTTTGTCATACATCTTTTGACATTCATTGTTTTTGTCTATCCGTTGAAAGTCTAGGCAATCTTTATTTTCAAGCTTCAAAAGAACTTTAATTTAGGCTTTTATTCACATTTAAACATTGAACAATGCACTCTTGTAGATCACAGGACATATTGTAAATGGAAGCTCAAATGTGAAGGCTCTGATCCTTCACACCTTTGTCATTTATGAAAACTTAAATATGGTGTCTGCCCTCATAAGGGTATTTTTTTATGATATGTTATGACATACACTATTTTTTCCCCCCACTGCATTTAGAAAAAGGAGCCTGATCAGGTGCAGAAGGCAGCAGTCACCATCACTGAAGAGTGAACATTGTCTTTAACACCAATGGATGTTTTGATTGCATTTGAAGATGAGATGATGTCTGCCAAGTGTTGGGTTAGTGCACTGGTGCGGTTTTTTTTTGCACTCATTTTTAAACATTTCCTTGTTTGTGCAGTCTTGACTTATTTGGTGAAATGTCTGATAAGATTGTTTAAATGTTATATTTTTGACTATAAAGTCCACTGATTGTGTTTTATGTTTGAAAACATCTTGTGAAGTAAATGTTGCATTTCAATAAACACTTAAGAATACCCTCCTGTTCTGTCAGCATTTCTTTGTACCAGTGTTATTTTTTGCTTAGTCTTATGTAACTTTATTACTTTGAGTTTGAAGGACTTGAACCATTTAAGGCAATCGGTTACCTCAAACCATTTAAGTAACTATATAGTTGTTAAGACTTTTTTTGTTACCTGAATTCAAACTGACTGAGTGAAATAAACTTAAAATCTTTAAACCAACACTTAATGTATATAAACTTAAAGGGATAGTTCACCCAAAAAAGAAAATGTGATGTTTATCTGGTTACCCCCAGGGCATCCAAGATGTAGGTGACTTTGTTTCTTCAATAGAACACAAATGAAGATTTTTAACTCAAACTGTTGCAGTCTGTCAGTCTTATAATGGAGGTGAATGGGAATCACGGCTTTGAGAGTAAAAAAAAAACATACACAAACAAAACTAAATTAAACCCTGTGGCTCGTGACGATACATTGATGTGTAAAGACACAAAATGATCGGTCTGTGCAAGAAACTGAACAGTATTTATATTGTTTTTTACCTCTGATTCACGCAATGTCCGAACTGTCCTAAGCGGCGGCGCATCCTCCTGAGCGAGTTCTCAACAGCAGGCGCATGAGGAGTCTTCTTCTTCTTCTTGCTTTACGGCGGATCACAGACTTATAAGTGTATTACCGCCACCTATCTCTCAAATAGACCATTGACACTCTATCTACAATCTCAATTAGGTGTGTCAATGGTCCATTTAAGTCTGCGATCCACCGTAAAGCAAGAAGAAGAAGAAGACGCCTCACGCGCCTACTGTTGAGAACGCGCTCAGGAGGACGCGCCGCCACTCAGGACAGTTCGGACATTGCGTGAATCAGAGGTAAAAAACAATATAAATACTGTTCAGTTTCTTGCACAGACTGATCGTTTTGTGTCTTTACA